TGTTTTTATCTTGAAAGTTTTTGAATTTACCATATCCTGGATGACTGAGAATCTTCACCAGCATGATACTAATTTACGTAGCGATGGCAAGATGTAATTGGTGCCCAAAACACTGCAGTCTGGTCCATTAATTTAGCTGTGCAGCTATCACCATATTTGATGAGTTGTCCGTTGTTAGGCAGATGTGGTTTTCTTCCTGTAGAACCCAGCTAGCAAGCCCCTCTCTCAGGTCAGCAACAATGTTTTCCCCCATGTGGTCATCTGGGAAGTAGGATGCTTGAAGGCAGCGAGCTCTGTGATTTAAATCTCTGTCACTGTAATGCACCATTGTACTCTGGTATGGCGCCACTGTACGGCTTGACCACAGATCAGTTGTAGCAAAAAACTCCACTGTTTTCAGCCCCACTGCAACTCTGCATTTTTTGTGTAGCTCCGGGATAGCAACTTGGCTAAAATGTGTGCGCGAGGGCATTCTGTACCGCTTATCCACTGTTTACCAAAGCCGTAAACCCAGGCTTGGTCACTATATTATTGGGCATCATATCTTTCGCTAGGAACTCTGTTATTCCTGCACTTCCACTTCCTGCAAGCTGAAAGACGGCAGTTCCCCCGGCTTCTTTGCAGTCCTTCAACATCAAACTAACCCGTTTTTCGAACCAGACTAAAAGTTGGTCCCTCTTCCAACCGAATTAGGTGTTCAATGGAGTCAGTGCCGTACGGGACCATCCGAAAAATTCATTTGGTCCAGGATCTGCTGCTCCCACCCCACCGGTCACTCCGAGCGCAGCCTGTCGTTGTCCGAAGGTCCGGCATTTTTTTCTCTGGACCCCAACCAAACTTTTCATCCGGACCTTTGTGGTTTTGCTTGGTTCTGATCAGGATCGCTTTGTTTTATTTTGCCAGTTTTCTGTTGGACTAGCTCCTCGTGGGTGTCTGTTGTCGGCCGTGGGGGAAGTTGACCCGAATAGGACCAGAACCAAACCGAACCAAGCCGAGCTGTGGGGGAACTTGACCAGAATAGAGCCAGTCTCAGTCTCAGCGAGCAGCCCATTATCTTTCATTAAAGGACCGACCACCTATGTGAGATTTGCTGTTGGCCGCGTAGGAGCCTGACAAAACCAGACCAGAACAGAACCTAGCCAAGGACGGCTCCAGCCTCCTTAGGGCTGAGTATTGAACTTCAGTTCTTTTATGGTACCAACCAATCTGCTTTGGTCGGTGTATAAATAATTTCCCTCTGGGATTAATAAAGTATTTTTGAATTGAATTTAATTTTATGGCTCAAAATATGCCTCTTCTTTTGATGTCAAGTTTCAGTGATTGGCTGTAATGTGACATGTGGTTTCAGCACACAGACAGGTAAAACATAGACGTATGGCAAAAAGACATACGTGGTTACGCCCAGAGCCATATAGAGCTGCCATATAGCCGTATGTCTATGGCAGTGGTTACACCCACAGACGGGGTTCACGTGTATCTGTGTTGCATGATATGGCAACTAGTGTGCAGCGCGTGTCGTCGAACCACTTCAATTACAAGCACAAAGTTGTTCGGTGTTTGTCTGCAAGAAAAATGGACCGCAGCCATCCTCCTCTCTATATTTAAATCAACATGTGGGTGTTAAGAGAGCCTGAACGGACTAATTCAACATTCCACGACCGGACTCCTCTTCATCCGAGAACTCAGAGGACAACTCTGTGTCTGGGATTTCAGCTGGTAAGTTCACGTTTGTTAACATTACTGCAACTTCGTGCATTGTGCAGTGAGTTAACTATCCATGTAATGGTAACTTTAAGATATTAGTGCGTAGAGCTGAGTACCGAACCAAGGTTCTTTTTTAGCACTGACTGAACTGCACCGGGAGCAGCACGGTGGCGCAACTGGTAGAGCTGCTGCCTCTCAGCGAGCAGGTCCCTGGTTCAAACCCCGGTCCAGGGGCCTTTCTGGGTGGAGTTTGCATGTTCTCTCCGTGCATGCGTGGGTTTTCTCTGGGTACTCCGGTTTCCTCCCACAGTCCAAAAACATGCATGTTAGGCTGATTGGTAACTCTAAATTGTCCTTAGGTGTGAGTGAGAGAGTGAATGGTTGTTTGTCTCGTTTGTCTCTGTGTGGCCCTGTGATGGACTTGCGACCCGTCCAGGGTGTACACCGCCCCTCGCACAGTGATTGCTGGACATGGGCACCAGCGACCCCCGTGACCCAAAATGGAATAAGCGGGTAAAGAAAATGGATGGATGGATGAACTGCACCGGTCGGTGTATGGATTGAAACGTCACTCTTTTTTCAGTGTCAAGTTTCGGTATTGGCTGTAATGTATCATGTGGTTTCAGCACGTCGGCAGGTAAAACGCAGACATATGACAAACAGACTACATGTTTACACCCAGAGCTATATAGAGCTGCCCTACACAGCTTGTATGTCTATGGTGCTGGTTACGCCCACAGACGGGATTCACGTGTGCATTAATGTCTTAATGTCTTGTGTATATATGTATGCATATGTATATATGTGTATATGTGTATGTGTGTGTATGTGCATGTGTGTGTATATGTACACATCTACTGACTGTGAAACTATATTTCAGAGCATTCTGACGATAAGAATAAATTTTGTGATATAACAAAAAAAAAAAACAGAAATCATAGTTATTTATTTGACAAAAGAAACTTAACATGTTGCTTTGCAGTATTATATAAAAACTAAAAAGCAATTAAAGCTGCAAGAAGCATTGGAGGCCCTCGCAGCAAAGCGCCGTTCCGGCCAAATGGCAACCGCGGTAGCTCCAGCTACTCCACCCAGTCGCCATCGCAAATGCTCTCGTGCCAATCCCGCACACCTTCACCACAGGGCGCATTTCCCAAATCTTCAACATCGCCTTCCGTCCATGTCAGTACTTGTCCAGTACTTTGGGAATTGGACAAGTCTACATTTCATGCTTCTATGACAAACCAAGGTTAATGCGGAAGGCATTTTGAAAATTTCCATGTGGCGCTCTTGATCCGTTTCTGTTGTGATTTTTGCAACGCCCTTAAAATACGTAATTTTTCAGCATTCCTGATCTGTCCTCCAAATTTGTTGAGTTTTGGGAAATGTTAAGGCCCCCAAAAGGCCAATTCATTTGCCAAAAAAAGTGCAGCTCGGGCTTGAACAGAGCGATTACAACAGGTTGTCGCAGCACTTCCCTGCTCGGGCCTAATTAAAAATATATGTTGCCTTTAAATGAGCTATAACTTGCAGAACTTGTAACAAGGTGATCAGCTGACCCTGAAGCTTGTGGTGTTTCAGCTTCCTCTGTTCCTGCAGGAATGATTCATTTCTCTGATGATCTGTCTCTGATCACCTGAATCTGTTCTTGGTCCATGGATTGTGGAACTCAAAAGACAGACTTGGGCGTGTTTGTACAAGCAGTTTAGAGTGAGTGTGTGTGTGTGTGTGGGGGGGGGGGGGGGGGGGAGGAGGGCTGTGCCCGCCTCGGCAGGCCAGAGCGGGGTGGGGGGAGAGAAAAACGAAGGGAGAGACATCCTGATGCATGCTCAATAATCCAGGTAGAAAAATCTAAAAAAGTTAAATCTGGTCCTCTGGACATTCAAAAAAAACCCAAAACAACGCAAAACAACAAAAAATGTAGAAACGTTTCGTCTCTCGTCCGAGAGACTTCTTCAGTCTAAGGTGCTGTTTTCAGCTCAGTCTCTTAAATAGCACCTTCTCAGAGTGGATCAACCAGTTTTGTTGCTGACAACCAAAACCAGCTGATCACATGCTCAAGAAGGACCATCAGCCTAACAATGGATCATTAGCACACTGATGGCTGTTTACTATTCACAGAGGGCTGAGTGATACTAGCAATCACAGCATTGTAAGAGGGGGACA